CACTTCCAATGCTTCGCCGTCATAAGGCTACCGGGGGCCGAGGCGGCCGAGGTAACTTAGTATTAGGCTCCTTTGTCAAGTCACAACGTCCGCTGTATCGGCTGAATCTGTTGCAACTCTGCGATTTGCTGCCCGTGCCCGTGCCTTCGGCCGCTTCGTGTGACCACTGAGCTAAGTCCTTAAAAATTCATAATCCTTGTCGTCCTTGCCTCGACGTCCCTGGTCCTTAGTACTAGTCAGTCACTAGTCCTTGTCGTGCCTGTCGTCGTCGTCGGAGGTATCGTCGCCGTAGCAGTAGCAGACGCAGCAATGGCAGTGGCAGCATAGTATACAGTTGTACAGTAATACAGTAGCCGCCGAGTCGCCGACTCGCCCGAAGCTTGGAAACCCCGCGACAGCGGACTGAGGCCCTCCAAAGCTGGGCTGGAAAACGTTGGTGTTATCCCCATGTACTCCGTACTACCGTACGTTTTGATGCTGGTGCAGGTGACGACATTCTGACTACGACGACTGTGGTGATATTAATTTGCTACGACTACTACTACCAGTTGCAATTGCTGTTCTTGTCAGTCAAGACCATGCAGCATGTTAAGCTATGCCAACTATCCCTCCATATCTTTCTGCTCTGTAGGACAACTTCTATAAGGCCTCTGACAGTCCCATGCAGCATTGCATCTGATCAAACCAGACTCCGAAAGGCACAAAGGCCGGGCTCCTAAGCAGAGGCCATGAAACCCATAGAGATTGAAACCAATCCCCTGCAGTCCCTCATGTTGTGCGTTTCTACCCCACACTTCCGAAACCATTCCTTGCTTGTGGCAAAGCAAAGACATGCGTCATCAATATACAGGATTGGGTCGACGAGACCAAGGTCACAGCAGCCGAGCGTGCCTGGAATAGCACTTGCGGTGCTTTGCGCACAGCGGCTCAGGAGGTCCTGCAAAGTTGCACGGCCAGCCTGAACGAGTTCAGGGCGCTGCCAGAGAGGCAAAGCTATGCGGCCGAGATGGGGTTGGTTCTTCGGCGCAGTCAATGGGTGGAAGGCTTCCTTGGCCAGGGCAAGACGTCGTTAGCGACACTGATTGAGGAGCAGAAATCCGGTGCCCACATTGCACCCGAGTCGGAAGCTACTGCTGCAGCGGCTGCAGCCACGATGAGTGGCGACATCGGGGCAGTGTCGCGTGCCGCTCCCTGTGCGTGTTGGCAGAAGCTGGAGTCACTGTCGTCTTTGATGGCAGAGGACTTCAAAAAGTGCACATCCGCAAAAAGTATCAAGACGAGGAGGGATGAACTCCAGCAGAAGAAGAGCTACTTAGTAACTAGTTAACTCCCCAATTCCCAACACTGTAGCCCAATCCCACCCTTTAGACTTTTGGGTTCTTATTATTTAGTAGTAATCTGAAAACTTAGCCTTTATTTCTCGGCCGGGGAAGTAAGGCTATGCAGCCGATCTTTTGTCCGCGGCCAAAGGAGCTGTCAACGATATGGTGACAGCAAAGAAAAGAGCTGACCAAGCTCAGAAGCGGCAGGAGGAAAAGGCCAGAAAGGAAGCCGAGAAGCGCGGCAAGGCGGATGAGCCGACGAAGAGACGTAAGAAGAAGACGGGAAAGCATGCATTGATCAATGCAGACGATGAAAGCTCCTTTCAGAGTTTTCCCAGGTTCAGTCCGCTTCGCTTGGATGTGAGACAGCCCTTCATCTACAGGCCAGATCCTAGCAGAATGGAGGGGCTCCAGAAGTCTGCAGCGAAGGAGCTTGCAGATTTCCGCGAGGTCTTCAAGTCAAGCAACCTCCGTGTGACGGAGGGGAAAGCCACCCGCATCGCTTGCAGCGAAGTGGCTGATGCTTTTGTGAAAGAGGTGCAAAGCGCATTGAGTGGGGCCTTTGCTGTTGGGTACTTCGCCGAGAAAGACCAAGCAGAGCCTGGGCCCGGGTCGCCCGGGTCCGGGTCGCAGGATGCCGGTGGCCGTGTGAACGCGGGCATGATTGAGAAAGTCATGAGACCGCAATGGTTTGGAATGGTGCCTGACCATATGAGCTTGGCCAGGTATGAGGCAGGCTTGCTGCCCATGATCAAGTGGGTCGTCCAGGGAACTTTCGTTTGCAGCGTGGTGACGTGTGAGGAGCTGCTTGCTACTGCGGATATGCGAACTGGAGACCTGCAGGCCAAGGTGACTTCGAAGGCAGATGGCTTGGCCAAGGAGAATTTCTTCATGGGCACCCTCGGTCCAGGTGATTTCTTGTACGTCCCCGCTGGAGCTTTGACGAGTGTGCAGGCGAACCGGGGGGTCCCGGGTTTGAGTTTGAAGTTTGAAGGGTCTGGCAAGTTGAAGTGGAAGCCTTGCAGCCTTGCAGCTGCGATCGGGCATCAGTAGCATCACTGTGCTGTGCTGGCAACGGCCAGGCTTTGCAGTCTGTGCAGTTTGGTAGAATTGCAACTGTCCATGACATGTGCTTAGCTGTCAATGCAAACCCTGGGCCCTGGGGCCACTCACTTTGTGTCTGTCTATTCTATTTCGGCAGCACATGCTCCAAAGACATTTTTTGATTTCTGTGACCTTCGTTATACGACCCCGGTCAAGTTCTAAACAGTCAGTGAGTCAGTGAGCCCAATGCCTCAACCGCCCGCTGAAACCACATTTTGGATAAACTTTAGAATACTTATGGCAGCACTGCGCAAGATCATAAGTCAACATGTTGAGATAGCAGTGCCTGAGCAATGCATGGCTAGAGAGTTGTACGTATCTGCGCAGGTTCATTGCGAAGATGCTGTCGGCATGCGAGCAGCAGCGCTTCACGGCGATGCAACAGACGTGCTGATCAAGCTTGCGGGCAAGCTCTCGAGCATGCCGTCGAACAATGACAAGGTTGTGCAGGCGGCATTGATGAGCTGTGCCAAGAAGGCAGAGCTGAGTGGCTCTGTGCTCGCTCCTTTGAGAAAGAAGTTTGCAGATGAGGCAAGGGCAAGAGATGACGCGCTCCAACAACTGAAGGATGAGGAGGAGGACGATGCCAAGGCTCAGGAAGAAGAGGAGAAGAAGCGACGTCACCGTCAGGAGGAGGAAGCAAAGAAGGCAACACAGGAAGCCAAGGAAAAGGAGGACGAGGAGAAGAAGCGAAAGGAGGAGGAAGCACAGAGGTCAGCCAAGGAAAAGGAGGAAGA